TGTGTCTGATTCAATATGTAACCAAAACATATGTTTGTACCATCAAAAATGAATTACAAACTCCAAATTACATGTTGGAAAAAAAATCAAATAATTCTGACTTTATATGAGTGACTTATGCACATTTTAAAACATGAAAAAAAAAATGTCAAACCGGTTCCGGTTTTTTGAACCAGGACCGGTTTCCATAAAAATGGAGAACCGGTAACCGGACCTATTACCAATTCCGGTTCCGGTTCTGGTTCGGTTCCGGTTCCGGCGGTTCTAATGCTCATCCCCACCTGAAACAATAAACTGAAAACTGTAAGCCTGAGGGCTTAGTGAGCAACCCCCAAAATACCAATACTACACTGATAATTCCATATCAGTAATAATCAATCAATCAATATGCATATTGGGCCATCGGCCTGACTAGACCGCCCTACCGGGCCTATAGTCTGTCTGGATCTATCCCGAGCCTTCGGCATGACTGGTCCGCCACGTGGGTCTACAATCTCCCTGGACCGCTCATAGGGTATGTTGGCCTTCAGCACAAAGCAGGACCGCCTCAACCCAACCAACAAACAAATAACCATGTTCGCATAACTATCATATATCGACATATACAAACATCAAACATATCTATCTCACTGATCATCAATCATAGAATTCTCCTGTAACTAGAGTACCGACCTAGCAGGTCACTAACATACCAATCCCTACGGACCATAATAGCATACCATATTGTCTACCCTGATTCCGATCTAACAAATCATAACCACATGTAGCATACCATAACAATGACAACTAAAGGGCCGACCTTGGTGCTGTAGACCCTATCGATATAGTGAGGATAACTCACCTCGCAGATGTCGACTCGAAAGGTAAACTCCAACTCTCGGATCACTTGGCACAGGCCCCACCACCTATTATCATATAACAACATACTCATAAGTCCTTAACCTTATAAGGTACTCCATAACCCACTAGTCAACCCCCTAGTCAAAGTCAAAATCCTTAGTCAAGGTCAACAGTCCATGTTGACCTTAACTCATCGAGTACCCTCAGCTACTCGCCGAGTTCCTTGAAGCACTTTCCAACTCGTCGAGTCATCGGGGTGATTGTCGAGTTCCTTCGATTCTCGATCAAACTTTAAGGGCACCCGTCGACTTTCCTCCTTGCAACTAGATAGATACACACACATACATATCCTGGAGAAAACTCATCCGACTCGCCGAGTTGTTCTTCAACTCGTCGAGTTTATGGAAATCTTCATCGGACTCGCCGAGTTGTTCATCCAACTCGTCGAGTTCACGGCCATCTTCATGTGACTCGTCGAGTCCATTTAGTCGTTTTTCCATACAGACTTGTTTTGAGCCATGCGGCGGCTCCAAATCACAGATCCAAGCTTCTAGGGCATGTTTATCACGTAAAATTGCAAACTTTACCTGCATGCATGGCTATAAAGGCTCTAAATGCCTATGTTAAGTTCTTAATGGAGCTTCATGCTCAAGAGGGACCACAATCATGACCAACACTAAGACTTTATGCTTCTAGAATCCAAGGAGGGTCCAGATCTGAAGTTACAACCTCAGATCTAGCCCATAGCTCATCTTATCAACTTAATATTCCACAAAAACCCTAAACTCAACCAATAAAAGAGATCTACAAGGAAAAATGGCGATTTGGGTACCTCTAGAAGATGATAACTGAGATAAGTGTTGATTCTCACACTCTACTTGCTCCAATCTCCTTTTCCTCCAAGCCTTCTCCCTCCAAGGATCCTCTTTTGAAGCTTCAAACACACAATGGGCACACACACACACGTATTAGGGTTCTCAAGGACTCTCTAGAACTGTAAAGAGGCCCAAGAGAGGATAAGGTTCCTTTAAATAAGTTGCAAAACCTCGGGATTTAGGGTTTCATCTGCCAGCTCCTACTCGCCGAGTCCTAATATGGACTCGTTGAGTAGGTCACTTAACACGCGATCCCACCCCACTGCTACTCGACGAGTAGGGCAACCAACTCGTCGAGTAGGCTTAACCCAATAAATCTTATTTAAAACAATACTTGAGAATTAGGGCGTTACATCGATCACGTGACCTCTCTAGGAGCTGACACGCGCCCCACCCCTTAGCATGACAAGTGTCCAACCCTTATTGGCTGGCGGGTTTTTTTGTTCCACCCATTTAGTTGTTCGGCGATAACTTTTTTTTTTTCTTTTAAAATTTTTTTTGAAAAAATAAAAATTCTTAAAATTTTATTCTCTACAAAATGAGCATAATCATGAAATTTTTAAAAAATATATATTTTTTGTAATTTTTTATATTTATAAAAATAACCCATAAAATATTCTCTAAGATTTATAAAAATTTAAAGAATAATTTTGCTTACTATTCTAATGACTTTATGAAAAGAATTTGTAAAAAATAAGGTGTTTTAGATACCAAACTTGATTTTAAAAGATTAAAAGTTTTTAAAAAAAATATTGAACATATTATGATCCAAATCTAGATGATGTAGAATATTTATGATTTAAAAATATTATGATTCAATATGTTTATGATCATTAACTTGTTATAATCTAAAAATATTTTGAGTCAAATATTAAATAATCCTTAATTATTATATTTTTTATGATTCAAAATTAAATTATTCAAAAATATAATGATCCAAATGTTGTATTGAACAAAAACTTTATTTAATTCAATATATTATGATCCAAATTAATATGATCAAAAAATGTATGACGCATAGTATCATTATGATTCAAAATACCATGATTCAAAATTTTATGATAAAACGAATTTTATGATTAAAAAAACTACAGAAAATATTATGATCCTTAATATATTTTTCATATTAAATTTTTATAAATGTTAAAGATTAAAAACTCAGACTAGTATTTAGTTTAAAAAATATAAAAAAGCAAAAAAATCAAAAAATAAAAATAAAAAAATAAAAAATAAAAATAAAACCCTTCTATCTTCAAATATGTAGTAAAGATACTAAAATAAAAGAAAATAAATAAAATTTTCTAAAAAAACGAAAAAAAAAAAAAAAAAAAAAAAACGTTAAAACAGAGCATATATCTATTTAAAAATTTTGAATTTTTTAAACGAAAAATCAAAAAAAGATATAATAAAAAAACCAAAATAAATGAAAAAGAAAAGAAAAAGAAATAAAAACCTATGTTTTTGTATATATTAAGGTAATGATTAGCATAGTTTAAGGAAATATGTTTTGTTAGAAAACACATGTCTATTCATTTTCCATTTCCGCTAGTACGAAAGAAGCTTTTGCGGTAAAAATAAATGAGTGACTGATAATTATTCTCTCATTTTCAACCTTTTTTTTTTCTTTAATTGAACTCTCCTCTTAAAATGTGATTCCGTAAGGAATATTCATTGTTAGCACTTAGCAGCGAGGTTTTAACAAGTAATTATTAGGTGCGGTAAAAATAAATGAGTGACTGATAATTATTCTCTCATTTTCAACTTTTTTTTTTTCTTAATTGAACTCTCCTCTTAAAATGTGATTCCGTAAGGAATATATTCATATACATTGTTAGCACTTAGCAGCGAGGTTTTAACAAGTAATTATTAGGTTTAAATCTTTCTTAGCCACCATTTGATGTTGTTCTATTTGCATCTATATCTAAAATGTATATCCAATAAAGCTTGTATAACATATGCACCGAGCCAATCAAAGGCGTTGTGAATATCATATTTTATGTTTTATAATTTATAGTAAATTTTATTCATTTAAACTTATAAATTATATTAAATGTTATTTGTAAGGGGTGAATTTATATAAAAGCAAATGAGAAGAATAGATGGAGGGAGAAGTATTTTCCTTTAAGATGAAGACGACATGGAGTGAATGAGGGGTAGCATACCTTTAACGTGCATTCTCTTAATCGATTAATTAACTTTATATCTTATTTATTAATTTAAATCTCATTATATGTTAATAGTAATAACTCATCAATGCAAAATAATAGTGTAGCAATCAGTATCATGTGCATTGAAACATGTACTTTGTAATCTAAAAATTAAAATAAGAATATTTTTTTTTGATTGCTATAAGTTAATGCAATGCTAGAATCGCATTTTATATGTTACATATGTTGTAATATGTAATAATTTAAAATACATGTAATATTGATTTACTCTATAAAAAAATTGTATTTATATGATATGAACGACTCAGTTCAACTCCTCGAAAAATTCTTTTGCAACAATTACACTATCATCGCATGTGATACAGATTTAGTCTCTAAAATTCTTTTGTTTTGTGATTAATAAAAGATAGGCATATATTGACCTTCAAAACACAACATTAGATGTGTAGAAGTGTTGATAACGAACATTGGTACATAATATTTGTTTTGAAGGCTCACTTCTCTACCACTACCATCAAACACATTCAAAATGTCATTCCTAATATCTATCAATTTTGATTACAAGATATATCAATAAGCACAAGATTACAAATATAACACGAATTTAGTCAATAGATTCTCGAAATCAATTACCAATTTCCCAATATATTGTAGAATACTTGCATAGGATGTCTATGGTGTTGAAAGATTTTTTTTATCGATTTATGTTCTTACGAGGACAGTAGTGTAATTTTCATGTTCATAAAAGAAAAATACAAAATAAAAAAAAAGAGAAAAATAAAAAGAGGTGGGAGATTGGAGGAAGAGCACGCGAGGAACATTTAAAGCGAGTGAGTATCACGCGTTCTGAAATTGTTAAAAAGCACATATTTAAGAAGGGAAACGCAAGAAAGATTGTTGGCAACAAACTACTTGAAGCATAATTTACACTTTACTACCCTTCTCTTCATATCCACTAACTTTTCACTGTTCACATTTTTAACCCTTTCACTATGTATATATATTGAGCCTACACCCCTCACTCTTTTCTCCATTACCAGTAACCCTCCACTCCTCTTTCTTTCTCTCTTTCTCTCTCCCCTCTCTCACACTTCACACAGATTCACACAGTTTCGCCATGGAAATGGAGTTCATGGCAGAATTCACGGAGGGTATGAGTCGTGATCGAGCTCGCCAAATCATTAGAGGTAAACGAACAAAACGTAATCGGCCTTGTTCGCCTTTTGGGATTTCCACCACCTCCGGCAACAGTGACTGTTTGATTAATAACTTTACACCTGATCACTCGCCGGTGATGTCATCTGAGATGTCAACGGAGGAAGACGAAGACATGGCGAATTGTTTGATTATGTTGGCTCAAAGTGTATCTCCGGTCAAGGAGGAAAAATCCGATCAGATTCGTCAGAAAACCGAGAAGTTAAGTAGTCGGAGATTTACAGAGATGGCGGTTTCTTCCGCCGGTGGAAAAGCTGGGTTCTATGTGTATGAGTGCAAAACGTGTAATCGTACGTTTCCGTCGTTTCAAGCTTTAGGTGGACACAGAGCAAGTCATAAGAAGCCGAAGGTTAACGTAGAAGAGAAGAAATCTGGTTTGGTTAATATTCAACCGCCATTGATGGAATATTCTGATGAAGATCAACACAAAGTCGTGGTAGAAGACGAAGAAAACAAGAACAGTTTGATCATCAGTAATAACGTCCAGAAATCTCCTTCATCTTCACCGGGTTTGATTCAAACAGGAATTATTAATAACAACACCAGAGGAAAAGTTCATGAATGTTCAATATGTGGATCGGAGTTCTTATCCGGCCAAGCTCTCGGCGGACACATGAGAAAACACCGGCCAACTCCACCGGCGATCAACAGAAGTACTGGAATCTCAACAAACACCGACGACAGCAGTACTGATAATCATATCATTGAAAATTCTCCGGTGGGTAATAGTATGTTATCGTTGGATCTTAACCTTCCGCCACCGGAGGTGGCTGACGACGTTCAATCACAATTTCAGTTTACTGCGAGTTCTTCACAACAACATCTAGTTTTCTCTGCTCCAGCTTTAGTAGATTGCCATTACTGAAAGCAAGAAAGAAGAAAGAAAAGGTCAACATCACAATTCAAAAACGCTACTTACATCAAGATCAATGTGAAATATTACATTTTCAATTGTTATTACTATTCATTGACAATTAATTAATCCAAACTGATTCTTCTCATTTAACATGTCATGATTCTCGAATTTAATTTCAAATTCGTCTCAAATTTCCAAATTCTATATGATTTGAGGTACATGATAACATGAATTCATGCCATTGTAACGCTATTTGATCATCATTCAAATTTTATCATTTTCATTGATTTAATGCATACAATCTTCGATACGATTCATTGTTTAGTTACTTATGTGATTGTTTCTTGATTTAAATTCAAATTATTGAAAATTAATAGCAGATGAGTTCTTAATTTTTTTTATAAACATAATCAATCACAAGTTTTTTACTTTAATTTGAGTTAGATTGAAGTAGTGTGAAGTGTAGTGAGTGTGGAATACTTTGAGTAAGTGGTTAGTGTTGAACAGGTGATATGATGCATATCATGGGTTGCCTTTCATTCACGAAAAGTGAGTGATAGTGTGAGTAATACATGGGCATCTCCCTTTTCTTTCATTTTCCATTTTCTATCTAAACAAATATAAGGTGAATTACACTATTACCCTTTGGTACATATTTTGAAAAAGAAAACATGATTTACATAAAACATGTATAAAAAACCGAAAAAAAGACATTTCTTCCTTTTGGTCATCATTTTCGTGCCTTTATTTTGTTTTTTTCTCAAGTGGAGTATGAAAGAAAACACACGTCACGTATTGCATACACTTAAAACGAATGTGTGACAGTATATGAGAAAAGAGAGACGGCAGAATATGATAACAGAATGCCAAACGGTTTGGCACTACCATTAGCACAATCGAAAGTTTATGCAAAAGTGTCTTCTTTCAACAACCTATGAGCTGACATGACACTGTTTTCTAATAAAAAAAAAAATTATTCTTTAAGCAACCAATGAACTAACACATAATTCAGCTGAAAAAAGGTTCTTCTTTCATCATCTAATAAGCTGGCTCACATTTGTTGGTTCACATGAGATGTATATGAGAAAAACAAGAACCTATCTATGCTCAGAAACAACCTAAACATATAGTGGAATGAAAACTCTAATATTGTTAAAATTTGAATATTTGATTGTTTATGCAAGTATACATGTAAATGAATGTAAGAATAACTAAAAAGAAAGAAACACATGGTTTGTGTCACATAGACACACACATGGAGTGTGTTTGAGTGAGTGAGTGGTAAGGCTGTTTGTATCAATAAATGGTTGGAAAACAAAGATGAGTTGGCTAACCGCATACCTTTCCCATTTCCATCCAACTCCATCCATGTATTAAAATATATTATTTTCAAATATATATATATATATATATATATATATATATATATATATATATATATATATATATATATATATATATATATATATATATATATATATATATATATATATATTGTTTGTTTTTATTATTATAAGTTGGGTTTAAATTTATATTTGATTTTATTGGTATTCTAAAAATAGTATAAAATGAAACATTTTGGGGATTAAAAAAAGAAATAAAGAAAGTAATTATATAGAGAGAAGTGAAAAAAGATTAAGGAGGGTTGTTTATAGATAGGTGTACACCTAATAAATATGTAATAATTAAAATTAAAGAGTTAATTAGGTTGATTATATTAAACAAAAGGGAGATAGTCCACATGATAAGGTGGGCGGTAGCAATGACAGCTGCTCTTGCTATCTCTCACCACTTATGTAACAACTCTCTCTTCTACTTCCAAAATACATGATTTATATTATTATTGATTAATCATATTCATATTTATCTCTTTACTTTTTTAAAAAGTAAAAAAAAAAAAATCAACTGTTGTATTTGTTTAAGCTTATAAGATATATTTTGCATTTTTTTTAAATTAATTTTGATTATACTTAACAAATTGGTTATTTGATTTTCACTAAAACGGCTAGGCATTTAATTAGTAGTTAAATATCTTCATCTTTGGTAGTTTAGCTGTAAGTGACACCAATTTTGAAAATTAATGAACAACCTTTAATGCTTTGTTTTAATTGAGTGGCTAATTTAGAAAGTTTTACAAACTTTTTCTGCTTTCTTATATATTAGACCTAACAAATAAATAAAACCAAAAACTCCTAACAAACTTTTGTAATATTATTATAATTTAGCAAAAGACCTCTAACTCATAGGTATGGTCATCTTTCTGTCAGATCTACTGTTTAGGTTTCGTTTGAAATACATATATAATTAAAAGTTATATATAATTAAAAGTTAGTTTAAGAATAAATTAAATTTGTTCGTTAAAAAATATAAAAGAAAAACAGAAAATAAAGAATTATTATCATTTTAATTAGTTGTAGAGTTATAAACTTTTATATGAAGATACAAATATTATCAATAAATATTTTATATAGTTATTATATCTGTGGCATTAAAAACATGATATAATCTTTTTAGTCGAGAGTACAATAACGTATGATATAATCTTTTTAGTCAAGAGTATAATAACGTAGAACATGTTTACAAATATTTTTTTTTATATATACACAAAACAATTTTTTTGGAGATGCTATAGTACCCCAACGCTTCATATAGATCCGTCATTGATTTTAATTGTCTCCGAAAAGAATATAACAATAAATTAAAGTCCCATAAAGCTGTGATACGTCTTAAACTATTTAAGTAATAATTAAATAGCTAAATTATTTCTTAACTGCACAAAACAAAACGTAACAAATTTTATATGATTTTATCACAATATATATGTTAAAAAACACACAAGGCATTAAATTCGCCGCTTACGTTTTGCTATTCATCCACCAATTATTATATTTTTAGATCTATAAAGCAAAGATAATATATTGTAATATATTACCAGAGCAGTTAAATTTTAGTAAAGTCGTTCGTTAGTTGGAATTTGGCAATATGGTCGTTGGATGACTAGTGATCACTCGAGTAATAAAAGCTAAATATAGTGAAAGTTTCTTATTCATAATGGGAATCTATTTGGATAACTTTCGTAATTCTAAAGCATTTCAATATATAGTTTTTCATTTAATGAAAAGAGTTCATATATTATAAAGGGAAAATGACTTAAAAGACCAATTAAGTTTAAAAAACGTCTATATTACCCCAATTATGTTTATGTTGTTCACAAAAAACCAATGAAATAATGTTTTTTTATTATAAAGCCAAATAAAGTTACCAGTAAAATTAACCTTTTTTAATGGTGATCGGCATCTGTGGGTTACGCTTCTTTGTTTACCGGTGATCAATGGTGTAATCTGACATGGATTATTAAAACACATTACGTGAAACATAAATGCCACAAGGATATCGATTCACCATCAAGGGTTCTCAGTGAAGGGTGAAATCGATATCTAGGGTTCTTACATAACGGTGAATGGTGAACTCGTGACAGTGAAATTGATTTTTACAGAAGGTGAAGGAAAGTTAGTCGATTGTGCAGCAAGGGTTCTCAGCATGTCTCGTGTAGCAAGCATGTCTCGTGACTCACTCAACATTGATGTCTACCATAAAGGTGTGTTTTCTCCTAATCCCTTGGTTTACTTTCATCTTGATAAAGTACCTGTTATGGGGCTAGATTTACGTAACATGGATTTCAAGAAGTTCAAGACCTATCTCCAAAAATTGATCAACAATAGATGTTGGGATATGTATTATTGTCTTAAAAATCGGTCCCTCGTAGATGGGTTAAGGGAGCTCAGGGATGAAGATGATTATGTTAGGTTCCTTGATGCTGGGTTTGATGATGATGACAATCAAATAAGTATCTACATTGATGACCATCATGAACCCTTACTAGATTGGATTGAAGAAGAAAAAGATGAAGAATGGGATAGTGGTACTGAAACATATGAAGATGATGTGGACTCGGTATTATCGGATGATCTATCAGTGGACCATGAAGCTGATGATGAGGACATTCAATGGCCTGAAGTTGTTGATCCTTTTTTGTCACAGAAGAATCTTATTCCACAAAGAGGCATAGAGGAAGAAGCTAGTGGTAAGGTAAAAAAACATCCTATTCACGATCCAAACCAAAAATGGGACACTATGATGCCTGAGTTAGGTATGAAATTCTCTGATCGAGATGAACTGAAACATATGTTAACAAATTATGCTGTGTCTAAGGGTTATTCATTGTGGTATGAAAAAAATGAGACAACAGCATTGCTAGTAAGGTGCAGTAAAAATGAAAAAGGGAAGCCATCTTGCCCTTTTAGACTATGGGCTAGTCCCATGAACAAGGAAAATTCATTCCAGATCAAGTCACTAATTGATAAACATAATTGTGCTAGACAACAAAAAATTGGGTTGTCTTGTTACGTATAAGTGGATTGGAAAAATGTTAATACCTAACATTTTGGAAAGGCCTAAGTTTAGGTATAGGAAAATGGCAGAAGTGGTTAGGAAAGACTATGGTCTCAAGGTAAGTCTTGGGCAGTGTAGAAATGCCAAGTACTTTGCACTAGATGAGATTTTAGGCAATTTGGTAAGCCAATATGAGAAACTATGAAATTATGGTGCTGAGTTATTGAGGGTTAATCCTGGGTCAACAGTCTTGATCGAGACAAATCATACGCCTGATGCTACACACTACTTCAAAAGGATGTATATTTGCCTGAAGTCTATCAAGGATGGCTGGATTGAAGGATGTAGAAGGGTTATCGGTGTTGATGGTTGTTTTTTGAAGGGTATTTGCAGAGGTGAGTTGTTAACAGCTGTTGGTAGGGACGCAAACAACCAAATGTATCCTCTAGCATGGGCTGTTGTGCCAGTTGAAAACAAGGAAACTTGGATGTGGTTCATTGATCTTCTACTTGAGGACATTGAGATGGGAGATGGTAGGGGTCTTACAATTATTTCAGACCAACACAAGGTGTGTTATAGTTTACATTTTACTTACTATATTATGTGTTATTATGTACTTTAAAACTGAAATTTGTTATCACCTTGTAGGGTTTAATGGAGGTTGTTAAGGAAAGGGCACCATCATGTGAGCATAGGAATTGTGCCCGACACATCTATGCCAACTTTAAGAAGAAGGGGTTCACGGGTGTTGAGTTTAGGAGGTTATTTTGGAGGGCTGCAAAGGCTATAACCGATTCTAATTTCCGATCATACATGAGGGAAATTCGTACAATGTCCACAAAAGCTTATGAGCACCTGATAGAAAGAGACCCAATTACATGGTGCAGAGCATTCTTTGAACCTCAGACTTGTTGTGATGCCGTGGAAAACGGTATATCTGAATCTTTCAATGCAGAAATTGTAGAGGCCCGGAAGAAACCAATAATAACAATGCTGGAAGAAATCAGATTGTACGTGATGGAGAGGATGTACAATCAAAAGATTAAGGGGCATAAGTGGGACATGGAAATCTGCTCCTCTATTAGAAAGAGGATTGAGAAGATGAAAGAAGAACAAAGGTATATTATTTAATTATAAGTGATTTAATATGAAATAACTTACCTTCTTAATATGATTTCAGGTACTGGGATGTTATTCCAAGTGGCGAGGAAGAATATGAAGTGAAATTAGCCCATGAGGTTTATGCTGTTCACCTTGAAAGCAAAACTTGTGGTTGCAGAGCCTGGCAACTTAGTGGTATCCCTTGTGTGCATGCCATTGCTGCTATATTATACCTGAATGGAAATGTAGAGGACTATGTAGCTGTATGGTTTAAAACAAGCTTGTTTGGAAGTTGCTATAGGTATCCAGTCAAACCAATAAATGGAGCTAACATGTGGCATGATGTTCTATTTGATCCCATATTACCACCTCGGCGTAGGAGAATGCCAGGAAGGCCTAAAGTAAACAGAATGAAATGTCCTACAGAAAATGAAGGAAGGCATACAATTAACAAGACAGGGATGTCCATCTCAAGATGTAGTAATTGTCATCAAGAAGGACACAACAAGAGGCGATGTCCATTTCTCACAGAAAGTTGGTTTTTATTTTGATTATTCATTCATCTACATTTGTATAATAATAATTATTTTTGGTTTAACAATGCAGCAAGTAAATCAACTGTTGGTGAAAGGGCTGTTGAAGAAGGGGTTAGTCAAGATGGGATTAGTGAAGATGGGGTCAATGAAGGGGTTAGTCAAGATGGGGTTAGTGAAGATGGGATTGGTGAAGAAGAGGCTGTTGAAGAAGGTGATATTGAAGACCACCAGGAGGATGAAATTGAACATCAAGAGGATGAGATTAACCATCAAGTAGATGAAATTGACCATCAAGAAAATCATGTTGAAGGCCATCAAGAAGATCATATTGAGGATCATCAAGAGGGGGTTGTTCAAGATGAAGCTCACCACATTGAAGTTGTTCAAGATGAAGCTAACCATGAAGTTCATCACCATCAGCATCAACCTGTTTTTTTTCAGCATTTTGTTGCTAACAAAAAGCGATTACCTTCTGAGAGGATCACAAAACTGAAGTTATGGAAGAAGGTGGTAACAAAAGATGGAAGTGGGGAAAGTCTTGAAAATCCAGTCACTTTAAACTAGGATAAGTGTGTTCTATTAGGATTATGTCAAATACTTTGAAATGGCACATCTTTTGGTGCTTAGTGCACATCTTTTGGTGCTTAGGCTTGTCTTTTTGATGCTTAGGCTTGTCTTTTGGTGTTGTGCACATTTACCAACATTTAGTGCCATGTGCACATGTTTTATTATGTGGTTTAATTATGCTTGATATGTAGTTTATTACCTTTTATGCATATTATAACAGTGTACCATTTTGCCCTTATTTGTTAAAACTATGTTAAAATTGGTAAAAACTGTTTTCTAGGGCATTACCTTTTGTAGGCCACCTTCATAGTTTGAAACAGGTTTTATGGACTATTTTGCCCCTGCTATTATCATTTGATAAAGTGTAATCTTATTATGGACTATTTTGCCCTTGCTATTTTCAATCAATAAAAGTATGTTACTATTATGTGTGTTTTCAATAAAACTGCCATTGTGTTTAAAAACCATTTAAAACACAAATTACATGCATAATGTCAAAAACTTTTATGGACTTTTTTGTCCCTGTTATTATCATTTGATAAAGTGCAATCCTTTTATGGACTATTTTCCCCCTGCTATTATCATTTGATAAAGTGTAATCTTATTATGGACTATTTTGCCCTTGCTATTTTCAATCAATAAAAGTATGTTACTATTATATGTGTTTTCAATAAAACTGCCATTGTGTTTAAAAACCATTTAAAACACAAATTACATGCATAATGTCAAAAACTTTTATGGATATTTTTGTCCCTGTTATTATCATTTGATAAAGTGCAATCCTTCTATGTGTATCAGTCTTCATACACACCTTCTTTTCATTCCCACTTCGTAACCATATTACATGAGTACAATGAAACTACTTTGAAGATACATATCCTGATAATTTCAAAGTACATTTCCCTTACATAATAACATTAACACTAGATCATGTACTTCACTACAAACAAAACAACAAACACATTTTATTTAATTCCTTTCTAAAACTCTTACATTCCTTATCAGTCTCCATCTTGTACTCATTGAAATCATGTTCCAATATTGCAATCTTCACTTCAATATTGAAATCATGTTCTTCATCTTTCTTATTCTTGTTCTTGGTTATAATTTCTTCATCATCATCAACCCATTCCCAGAAATCACATTTATCCTTCGGATCCTTCATCTTCAATTATAATATAAACAAACAATACTGTAGCATGAAAAACAAAAAGGGACCCAAACAAGAACAAGCTTTTAGATATACTTACCAAAGAGTTAGGACAAACCCTAAATTTTTTACCAGGATTTGCCTTTGTTGTTGATATCCAGATGCGAGAAGGAAACCCACAATCACAAGGATTTGCCTTATCAATAGTGCTTTTTGACTTGGAAATTTTTGATCTTGAGCATGAGTTGGAGGATCGAGACGAAGAAGCCATGTTGAAGAACTCGATTGAAGAAGTCGATTGAAGAAGTCGATCGAAGAAGCCATATTACCCCATTATGCCCTATATCTATCTAACACAAATGCCACGTAGATATGCCAACATATATGCCAACTCAACAAAAATATGCCAACTCATTTACCCCCATCGTTTACCTGCAAGATGCCAGTTACCATTAAAAAAGGTTAATTTTACTGGTAACTTTATTTGGCTTTATAATAAAAAACATTATTTCGTTGGTTTTTAGTGAACAACATAAACATAATTGGGGTAATATAGACGTTTTTGAAACTTAATTGGTCTTTTAAGTCATTTTCCCTATAATAAAAAACATTATTTCGTTGGTTTTTTGTGAACAACATAAACATAATTGGGGTAATATAGATGTTTTTGAAACTTAATTGGTCTTTTAAGTCATTTTCCCTATTATAAAATAAGATTCTCATTAACTACGGTAAAATAGGTAGTAAGACCCGACATATAACCCAGTTGTACAAAAATTTGGATCCTATTTCATATAGAACGTTTTTGATTGTTCTCAGTGCCTTGAAAAACAACATTCCATGCTCAATTAAAGGATATAGTATATACTAGGTGACCAAATACATATTATGTTAGCTTATACATGCTACCCGGTTTCTATTTTGCTGTCCGACGATTTGTTAACCTATAATACATAAGCGAGTTGTCGATGTACATTATCAGTTGCTATGTCAATCTTCACATGGCTTGCTCTTGGCGTATATTGCTTAGCGTTATCGTAGAACCTAAGATGGAAGGACAAAGAGGGTCATCAGTATTATCGGGTGCTCTCGGTAATAATATATGACGCCTAAGTTAGAACAATGCATAGTGTATTAAGAGAAATTGTGACATCTCCATCTTCTAGGCCAATTTCAAACTTTTTATTTATATTTATTTAATTCAAAATATATTTTTTATTGCGGAATTTGTTTCGAAAACATTTATATAAAATATTTCCGAAGAAGCATTTTTCATTAATATATCAAATCTTGGGATGTGGTCATCGATGCAAATATCATAACCATAAACTATTTATTACAAGCCTCATAATACTTATTCATACTAATAGCCCCCAGACTCTTTAAATCTCTCATTATCCATATGCCTTTTTAAACGTTTGATTCCCTGGTACGTATTTAATTTAATTATTTATTTATTTTAAAAGAAGGACTCGACGAGTTGGTAGCCCTAACTCGTCGAGTAGATGGCAGAATATGTGCGAGGTTTGAGCTATCTACTCGGTGAGTCGAGGTCCCTGACTCGGCGAGTAGCTCGGCTAGGGTGAAATCCTAATTTCGGGGTTTTGCACCCTATTTAATCATTCTAATCCCCACCCCTTGGCCTCATTTACAACATCCTTGTCCTAAACCCTAATCCACGAAACATTGGAGCATTTTGAGAGTGTGTGAGCCATCTTTGAGTGTTTTGTGTGTTCTTGAAGCCTAGAAGAAGAAGAAGGAGCTTGAAGGTTCAAGGAGAAGGTTATAGATCCAAGGATTTCATTCCATTCTCATCACTTTCTGGTAATCAAGCTCTTAACTTGCCTTATAGTTCCTTAAATCTCTTTGTGGCCGCTTTTATGGGGTTTTTGTCCAAGTAGCATGATTTATGAGTCAAGAATATACCAAGTTGATTATAATTTCAAATCTGGAGTCATTAAGGGCTGTAAAGGCATAAAGGTGCAAACTTTATGCCATTTGAGTCTCATGCAAACCCTAAGGTTGTTGTTGTGGCCTTTTAATCCCCAAAGGGGCCATGCATGGAAGCAAGCTCGAGACTTTACGTGGTTAACTGTTACCTAGGCCCTAGATCTAGGTTTTCATGCTTTTGTTTAGAATACTAAGGTTGTTTTTAGAAGATCTATGTCCTAAAGGAATTAGGGTTTTAGCTAAACCCTTCAACAAGGGTTATCAACGGGTAAGTTGGAAACTTTAACCTTAGAAAGGTCATTTCTAGTGAACAAGCGAAGTAGGGGCTCTAGATCTTGAGAACAAGGACTTAGTCTGTTAAGATGGCCAAATAGATAGAAGGACTCATCGAGTCTATGAGGGAACTCGACGAGTCGGGTCGTGTTTTCCCATTCCAGTTTGTGGTAGAACTCGACGAGCGTGTAGAGGGACTCGACGAGTTGGTTCGCCAATTCGCGACTATGAGCAGCTCGATAGGACTCGATGAGTAAGAGGAACGACTCGGCGAGTTGAGTCGCAATTCCAGGGTTTCTGAGTTATAGAACTCGGCGAGTTGAAAGGTTGACTCGGTGAGTTGGTCAACCCAGAATGTTGACTTTGACCCGAGCATTAACTTTGAATAGGGGTAAAATGGTTATTTTACTCTTAGATGGATATTTAGTTTTCTGACTAAGTATTATTATATAAAGTTAGCCGGGAAGTCGTGAGAGCAGCCATCAGAGATTCCTCACGCACGAGATCAACATCCAGTTTAAGAGGTGAGTTTTCCTCTAGTAGGAGCGGGTTGAAGCCACTAATGCCCGCCCATTCATGTATGTTAGCGTTTGCTGGACTTAGGTCCAATGCCATGGATAGCCCGATGCAACTTATATGTTCCGGACCTCGGTCCGATGCTGGGGTAAGCCCGATGAATGTTGTATGCTTGATGTCTTCATGATTCTTGCATGTATTTTTTTGTATGTCCCGGACTTCGGTCCGATGTCGGGGCAAGCCCGATGAAGATTTAGCTTATATGTCATATGTTATGTGTTCTGGACTTCGGTCCGTTGCCGGGGCAAGCCCGAGGAAGCTTTATATGTTTATATGTTATATGTTTATGTGTTATGTGCTTGTTGCTATGATATATGTATATCGGACTTCGGTTCGATGCCGGGCGGGGCCCGATGCCCATTTCGTCCAATGCCAGGAGGGGTCCGATGCAGTAGGCAAGACCCAGTATATGATATTATGTGTTTATTGTATTGTATGTGGTAGTTTAGGGTAGCTCACTAAGTTTCGTGCTTATAGTTTTCAATTTTTGTTTCAGGTACTTCTGCTAGCAAAGGGAAGGGGTCAGGATGATCACATGGCACACACCACAGTTTTATAGCCTGGGATACTTTAATATGATATTTGAGATGATATTTTGATATTTCGTTATTTGATGTGATATTTTTGGAGATACACGTTTTATGTTGTTTACATGATGATGTCATTTATGGTTTATTTAATAAATTAAAAATGAAAATTTTGAACCTTATTTTTAGGATATTTCAAGTTGGTATCAGAGCATTGGTTTGTGTAACATACATGTTTTGAAATCGTGTTTTGTAATGAATAATATTATGAAATATTATATGATTTTAAGCGTTGAGTTCTAACAGATAGTTTTTACCTGAAATAAAGTAAAACTATGTTTAGAATCACTCGGAAAATATTTGAAGTCTTATGAGATTCCAATCTAATGTCAAATATTGAAATCTAACGAAAATATAGAAATAAGTAAAATTTTATTATTGAAAGTTGTAAAGAATCTCTTTAGAAACATTTAGGTGAAAACCTCATTGAAATTCGAGTTATAACGAAGAAGTTATGACTATTTGAAGTTTCGCGACAGAACCAGTACGACGTCGTATGACGTAAAAAGTAAGTTTTTGATAAACTACTTTTTACCGAGAATTTTCATATAATATTCGTTAATCAGTCTCTTTTGATTACCAAATTAATTTCTGATCAATACTAGTTAAATAATATGATTTCCAAATAATATATTAATCTTGTAATATATTAATAAAACCATTTTGAGTATGAATGTATTATTCATATAATAAATTCTACTCTCTCTCCTCTTTTCATCCTATCAAGTTGCATGAGTGAAGGCAACCCAAAAGGATCATGCTCATAATCGAGTCAAGTACATACCAAAATAGTTATGGGCTTAGACACCTAATCCAACAGTTTATTGCTTTGTAGGACATAAGTTGTATATATGCTAGATATCCTGATACATTATATGATGTGTCAGATGGTTAAGTGAATGCCTTAGGTTGTATGTAGTAGGCACTAAATAGACTTAGAATAACTGATTTAGCGTAATCCACAACTCTCGTTTGATTCCAACTGTTCTGGTGTAGAATCTTTTATTCGAATGGATATATGGTTTTACATTGTATATGAATGTAAATTCATGAGGCGAGACATCATGCATGGCGAAGATTCCATGTGAACTAGAGTAGCAGAGTGTATGTGATAGAATTGTCTGTTATATTGACGGCTTGAATGTTGCTTGCTTTGTTCTATATGAACCATATATTGATATCAACTAACTATTAAGCAAATATGTTAGATTCCATGGTAAAAAAAATTAAATAGTTTTAGAATACTTGATCTGGCACTATTGTGCAGCTCTCGTCTAAGTCAAACCATTATAGGATAGGATCATTCAATCGGAAGACTATTTTTTTTTTGTATTTAATTGTATTCATTAGATACTTAGTTGACATTGGTAGTTTTTTCTTCCACTGTTGTTAGTAGGGTGGGGTGGGATTCTTATTAAGCTAGAAGTAGTATTATCACATTCTAGTGTAGACATAGGTGCAAGAATTTTCAGTGAGAAGTGACTTGGTCACTTGGGGACAAGTCTTAGTATGGGAATGGATAGGTGTGGAAAAATAGTAGTAGAGATCCTAATATTAGAAGCACATGATCCATGCTCGAGTCGGGAAAATCATGGGGAACCCAAGGAGCTGAGTGTTTACTGGTAAGCATGAATATAGTGTGCTAATGCTTTTTGGGAACGACTTTTTCCATTCATATGAAAATGGTGATTGATAACACAAAAGGACGAGTAGATAGATATTAATGTAATGATAAACCTTTTGATAGGTGGTGATAAGTTTTGTTTATGTTAAATAGAATGTCGACTAGTCGACAAGGTGTAGAAAGCTCAAGGTTTGGCACGGGCAACGAATTGTTTGGTTGGATTCTTTACGAGGTTTCGCAGACCTTAATGGAGAATTTGCT